ATATATATATATCACAGTACATCATTATGACATGTATGCTTTTGTGAATAAAAAATGCTTCAGCTGATTTTTGAAAATGGAAATTGTTGGGGCAGATCTTATTTTATATGGGACTTCGTTCCATACCTGGGGACCAAAGAATAAAAAGGAACGCTCGCCGTATGTTTTGTAATTTTGTTTTGGAGTTTTAAGAATTAGATTATCAGACAGTTCTTATGTCAGTTTATGAAGTGAGTAGAGGCAATATTAAATGTATACCACTTTGTAGGCTACGAAATATAGTAGCAATCATTTTTTTTCTTTCTTCTGAATTTGGAATTTTAAGTAAAAATGTCAGTGTTGCATTGATTGCTATAAGAAGTAATAAATAGCAATCAAATTTCCGGACATAATAAGTCTGGTAATAATCGAACAATATCAAATGCAATAAAAATTTAACAGCGACATCTTTAAAAATTAAACAAACATCAATTAGAATGTCCATGTTACATCAAAGGCAGCACCACTCAAAAAACAACAACAAAAAACCCAAACAAACAACAAAACCACAACAACAAACAAAAGCAAAATAAAACCAACAACAATAAAAAAAACCCAACAACAACAAGACAAACAAAACAAAACAAACAAACAAGCAAACAAACAAACAAACAAACAAACAAACAAACAAACCACAATTGATGACACCCCACCCCTACTCAAAAACAGAAACAAAAGAAGCAAAATGAAAAAGAAACCCAAATACTTTTTTCTCGTTATCAAATGCATTAAAAAGAGACAACTTTTTTTACTTTGACGCGCAAGGAAAAAAAATTGCTAAGATATAACGTTAGCATTATGTGGTTAATTGCCTTTACAGTACTTTGCATTATAATAACATCTGTATTTTAAAGTACGAAAGGTTAGCTCTCGTTGAAATCTGGACAAAACAATAGCGCATTTGCGCGGCAGATAAACCTAAACGTCTCTAAAACATTTGCATTGCCTTCAATAATCAACCCCTGGAAAAGTGAGAAAAATTATTCATTCTACGTGGTTATACAAAATTTGCAAAGAAGAATGGAAAACAACAAAAATGTATCCTATTGTGTAGTCTCATAATAGCAAAGAAATCTCACAGCGGTCGCAAGAGAAAGTATTATGCGTGAAGAATGGAATGAAGCACGCCTTATGTAGACGTGGACTTGCTCCACGAACAAGAAAATTGTTGACATCATACTGTGCAAACGAATAGCAAAAAAGCAAATTCTAAGAGGGAAAAAAATTAAGAAGACACCCCCTCTCCTCCCAAACCGAATAAAAAGGAGTAAAGTTCGTCACAACCACGAAAAACAAACGATCTGACCAGCTTCGGGGTTAGTGGTGAAGAGAAAGAGGATCAATTCCACTTCAATATCGTGAATAGACCGGAGGGGGTCGAATGCGAGCTCTTTCAGAGAGGCTGTCAAGTATCACAACGGGCAATAGACAGCTGTTTGTTTGTTTGCTTGTTTGCTTGTTTGTATGTATGTATGTATGTATGTATGTATGTATGTATGTATGTATGTATGTATGT